ACAACAATGCTTCAACTTAAATGTTTGAAGCGAATAAATTATTCAATGCAACCATTCGATGCCGATAGACAGCTGACAAAGTTAAAAAACAAGTTGACAAAGTTTAAAGTTATCACTACTAGAAATTTAATAAGAACATGTGTGCTTGCCCCACTGTGCAGTCATTTTACTAATGGTTCGTGAAAATATTTATACGCTCAAAGTATTCGTTAAACATGCAATAATTACTTATTGCTATACGCCCATTGTATCATGTCGTTCCTGAAACGGCACAGATCACAGAGCTTCATCCATTTGGCATTCCCGGCCTAATTAGGCGAATTTGCCAATTCGCACGGCGAATTCTCATGACTATTTGAGGATCGCTTCTCGATGGTATTTGCATACAATTTGCAATAACTGCAATTAACTGGATAGTGTTAGACGTTAAGAAGAAGAGACGATAGTTTGTTTATTCTCTAAATAATTTAATTAGCAGTAGAAATATTTGTATCTTCGTTTAATATAAATACCACGGTCATTATTATTTTGTTGATTGTCATTAATTTCAAAGCATTATCGGTAATAAGAATGAGTTTGAATCATCTCTAAGTAGCTGCTTCAATATGCGAGCTCCTTCAGTTGGTTCGCCTGATATTTTCAGCAGGTTTTTGCTTGGCTCTTACTCACTGATAAATTCGGACCGTCAAGGGCCGATATGAATCATATGAATGGGTCTCAGCCCACCCGCGCACCGCCTGCCCCACCCAGCCCCGCCACAGCCACAGCCACGACCTGAGCCGCATTTGCAGTCGCAGTCGTATGAATGAGTGCACAGTCGAGCTACAGGGCAATCAAGTGCGAAAATTAAAATTACATGCCGTGGCTCGGAATGCCATGGATGCTGCCAAGACAGTGGTGCTGCGCCTGTGCTGGTGGTGCTGCTGCAGTGGCCACATTTAAAGGTTCATAACTTCCAAGTCAATTACGCGGCGCATACGCAAAATCCCATCTACGTTTGCCCTGTTGCTCTGCCTTACCGACTGACTGACTGAATTAGAAGCCAGTTGAGTTGATCGCATTTCGCATGCGAGACTATAAAATACCCTGTTAAATTGAAGGGCTAGAAACAACTGCCCAGCATTGATTATTTGTTAATAACATTTCCATAATATTTCGCCAAATCAAAGCTACGTTCAATATTTTTTAAAATACCCTGTAGCTATGAATTACTCCATTAGATTTCATGCGCTATGGATTTTTCCATAATGTTCTTTCAGTAATTTAGCCATAAGTCGAAAATTTGATTGATATTTGAAATTAAAATGTTTATTCTAACTGATACCCTGTAGAAGCCTTACTTTTTACGCTGTTTTGTAAACTAGAACATTTTAAGATCGTATACTAGTTATTCTAATTCCAATTATATATAGAGTTCTCTACTCTCCTTCTTCCTCATATATATATAACTCCCCTATCAACTGTATTGACAATATACCCAACGCATTCACATTTGATAGCAGGGTATACAAATTACATGCCCAGGCGTAAGAGGCTCGCGGTATCTGGATTCCGAGTCCTGCTTCAGCCTCCACACAGTCAGGCTGTCTGTCATAACTCACGAGCGCGCTGCCTCCGCATCGAGAAGAACCGCTGCGCAGGCGCAGGTGAACTAGTAGACAAGAAGCTGAATCTGAAATGCAGAAGCAGCAGCAGCAGCAGGAGCCGCAGGAGCAGCAGCAGTCCAAGTGGGAGCTGCAACAACTACTGTGGGAACCGTACCGATCTGCAGCTCCAGCGAATTAATTTGTGACGCGCGCTGCCTCGCCGCAGTCCGCTTCCGAGAGCTCGTTCCACACTGTGGCAGCCGCCAGGCAATTTACTCGCACGCAGTGCCCATCCACTGCCAGGCGACCCCGAGTGCTGCAGCATGAAGCAGCTTCCACCTGGGTCTCCTCTTGGCTGCAGCTCGTGACTGCAACGTCGTTTGGCAAGTGGCGGCTGCTGTAGCTGTAGCTGTTGCTGTTGCTGTTGCTGTTGCTGCGGCTGTGGTGGAGGCAGCTCTTGGCGGCTTTGGCGCTGGTGTCAAACGCTTTGTAATCTGTCACGTCGCATCGTTTTAATATTTTCTGCGCTCATGGGCCACGGCTATACGAGGAAATGCAGACGCTTGCCTGTAAAAATAGGCGTTGCCCTTCGGTATTTATGATCGTTTGCCAGGCACTGCCCCCATCTCCGTCCCCCCGACCAGCCGACCCGCTGCTCCATCTGGGATGCATCTTAGCCGCGTTTTGTTTGGTTTATCAGCAGCCGCAAGGCAGACTCTGCTCCTCTGCAGCACGTCCAGCTTCGTGGCGCTGTCTGGCTGCACTGACTGCATCTTGGTTTTTGGGTAGCCTCGTTTTATTATCTAAATCATTATTAGTTTGACCTTCAGCCCGAGGTATTCGAGGCGGTTTGTGTGCTTGCTCGAAGTGGATTCTTTATCTTATTAATTATGCGCCTCCCGCAATATCCGACTACTGTGCGTGTGTGAGTCACTCGGCAGAGCAAAGAAATCATTGTGAATGCAATCACTAGGTTAAATAAAAGATATATGGACAGTTCAATGAAGTTGAGTTGGTTGATGTTGACCTAGAGGGCAATGACAGCACTAGTTGGGAATCAATGCAATTAAGACAAAAAATAAACTGGAAGAAAACATAGATACTCTTCTCTGATACCCAATCGGATAGGATCGAACCCACATTCAATCCATTCAAATATCAACTTTTTATACGGTGTACTGTACGTAAGAGGTGAGACGTCTTAGCCCTGTCTCTCTGTCTATCTCTTGAATTATTGCTAGATTGATTGATATCTAGTCGGGCTGATCGCTTAGCAAATTTGCAATAAGATCTCTTAGGTCCTGCAACATTAAATATATATGTTTATATGGGTTAAAGTACCTAAGTGCTTAGCCTGTCCAGTAAACGCTGCGATTACGCTGACATACTGTTCACGCTGCCGTTTAGCATTTACCGTTGCTGTAATAAACGCTAATTGCTACGGTTAACATACTGTTAACCCATGTCAATGCTCCAATTACTGGCAGTTTAAGCAATACATTCGCGAGATCTGAGGTGCACTGACCCACTAACTGACTGCCGCTGCACTGTGCAGCTGACACATAGCGGGAACAGTGACTCATCGCAGAAAATTACATTCCCACAAGGCGAAAAGCAAAGAAGTATAAACAAAGCGAAAATAAAAATTCTGCATGCCTATTAGTGGGCGATTCGCTAACCCTACTCAAGTGCACATAAGCGGGCAGTCAGCAGGCATTTAACATGCGCGTAACATAACAGCAACAACAGCAGCAGCAGCAGCAACAACGATAGTAGCAGGAGACGGAACCGGTACAGGGGCAGTTAAGCATTACAGTGCCAGTACTGACAACCGTTAATCAGGCGCCACAAATCAGACAGCGACAGCAGCAACAGTTAATTGTTTAACGCGCAGCGCGCACAGCGATTAACAGCCCCTCCCAGCGCCCCACTGCTGCCGTTGTTGTTTGGCTCTCTGATTGGCTGCGCGGCGCGGCCTTACTGAGTGCTGGGTGTTAGACAGAGACAGAGAGAGAGAGAGAGAGAGAGAGAGAGAGAGGCTACGTTTGCCACTGATGGCATCTATTTTTAGCAGCGATCGCCGTCGCTCAGCTGAAAATGGCGCCACGCTGCCAAATGGCTGGGGGCTATAAAAAAAAACAGTCTGGTAACTCTGTCTAAGTGGCGCGACGCAACACGAAGCGCTAGAATTTTGATACCATTCAAACGCCTTAGACCTTAACGTCAACAAAGGGAAGAACCGTGGCTAGGGGGACTTACTATTGTTGTTGTTGTTGTTGGCATTGTACTTTGGCATGAGCATGAAAATTAAAAATCAAAATATAAATACGAGAGAGATCGATAAATACGAAACATCACCTGGGCCCTATAAGAGATCAGTACACATGGAACAGGATGTGATGATGCGTGGGCGGGTGGGTGTTAATTGCCAGGTGTACCAGACAGCTAATCAGCTGGCATGGAATATTTATGAGAGTTGAGCAAAAAATAAATATCATATCGCAAACACCCATAACGTGCTAATTAAAGCAATTGGCAACAATCACAGAGCCAACATCAATCTATAATTGAGACAATCTAGGAGTCTAGACCAAGTCAAATAACAGTAATTGGTAATTAGTGAAGTCTTGCTAGGTGTACTCAACAATTAATATCTGTCATGAAATTTGGAACTGTTGACAATAATTAATAGTTCTTGATTCAGAAAAAGCCTGATTTTATTATATTTTCAACTTAAAATATTTAAAATATAATAATAATAAAATAGATCAAGCACAGTCTTACATCCATTGATAAACCTTTCATCTTGTTTATAAATAATTTTCTAAAAATTAAATTCATGTGTGAATATTTTTAAATCGCATGAAATGAACTTTGAGCACACCTCAATCATTTATTAATCGTTCCCTAACTTTATATTTATTTTTATCCCTTTGATTCATCTGCTTGTAATATGAGGCACATATTTAATTTGAATTATCAAATGTTGCGTTTCGAATTCTTGGAACTGAAGTCCGACACGTGTCAACAGAGTTTGCTGTATTGTTGTCAACAGTTGAAAAGTTTCCCCCGCTTATGGATATACGATATTGCGGTAAATCATAGATATAGCTCTAAACATTTTCTAGATTTCTGAAAATAATACAATTTGGATTCGCACAGGTGTAAATAAGTGCATGAGAACTAGTCAGGTGTAGGATTAAATTATAAGTCTTTTACTTTTGTAAAATTCCCTACAATCACAGATTTTGCTAGGTTTTCTTATGTGTTATGACTGACGAAATATTATATATGACAACATACCTCATTTGAATAAAAATAAGGAGTATCTTTTCTTTGCATGCCTTTCAAGAAGTTTGTAGAACACACTTTGAATAAACCTAGACAAATATCTCTTGCAGATGGCGGGCTTAGTTCGTGTGTTTCTAGTTCTGTTATTAACAATTAGAGGATACAGCTCCTCTACAGACTCTGCAGAGGGACTACCTGCTATAATAGATGAGCTGAGCACACAGATTGGCATCGAAACAAACTTTGTGTACAATCCCCAGCGGAGAGGACTAAGTTATTTACCCAAACTGAAGCCAATCGCGCAGATACTGGTTAGTTCCATAAACGATTCTGTTTTTAATGCTACGGAGCTAGTTCAATTTTTGGGTGAACGAATGCTCTTCGTGCTGCTTGTTAAGACGCCTCCAATCGATCTATTCGAGAAGCTCCACTTACAGTTCCAGACAGCGGACTTTTTGCTGGTGCTAAACGAAAGCCCGGAGACAGATGTGTGGCTAGAGTTTGCCCATCAGGCATGGCAGCTGGGCTACAATGGCCTCCTATTCCTACATATATCGCAAGATCCGGTGCTCTACAGAATGCGCTTGTTTCCACAAATCAAGATCCTGCCCACCGATGTGAACGAATATGTGCAAAGCCGGGGTCGTATGAGAAATATGCAGGGCTTTGAGATTCGCATCGCGGTGTACTCCAACCCGCCCCGCTGCCTCCTCTACGAGGACAGACACGGCAGGCAGAAGTATGGCGGCTATTACCTGCGCTTCCTGCAACACTTTCTGGAGGTCCACAATGCGACCTTTGTGCCCGTTTACACGTCCAACGATTCGCCCGGGCACTGCATTAGGGCGCTGCTCGCGAGGCGAGTGGACCTGTGCGGCGACTCACTGGCTCAGGGATCGGACAAGGCTTTCGTTGTGACAAGGGCCATTCGCATGGCATATGCCAATGTCATGGTGCCCAATGCCAAGCCGTTGAGCTCGTATCGCTATCTGGTGGCTCCATTCCACTCGACTGTCTGGATCTGCCTGTTCGTCTACATAGCCTTCATTGTTTTCTTCATGAGCTGCATCCACTGGCAGCAGCGGAGGCGCTGGATCTTCAGCACCTTTCTGCTGGACGCCATCAGGTCGCTGCTGTTCACGGGCTTCTCCCTGAAGCACCTCCATGGGCGCGAGCGGTACATACTCTTTGCCGTGCTCTTCATAGCTGGCTTCATCTACTCCACGTTCTACCTGGGATACCTGAAGAGCATATTGACCACGGAAGTATTCGAGAAGCCGATCAACAGCTTTGCAGAGCTGCTGGAGTCCAACATCAGCATCATGATAGACGAATACGACCGAAACTTGTCGAGGAGATACCATCTGCCGGATATGCTGTGGCCAATCATACAGGTGGTTCCCGACGAGACCCTGAAGAGGCATCGCAGCGGCTTTGACCAGGGGTACGCCTACATACTCTTCAGCGATCGCATGGACCTGTTCGACTATGCTCAGAAGTACCTAAGGCATCCGCGCCTGCGCCGCATACCCATCAACATATTCTTTCTGTTCTCCGGCTTCCCGATGCGCGAGAGCTACTTCTTGAGGCACTCGCTGAGTGACGCCTGGGCCTATGCCTTTGAGAGCGGATTCCTGAAGAAGCTGGCAGTGGACGCCGACCACGACACGATGACAGCGAACGTGGGCTTCAAATTCCTCGTCACCGACTACTACGAGGCGCAATCCCTGAAACTCGATTATTTCGTCATGCCGGCCATGTCGCTGGCCTTCGGCTACGGCCTGGCTTTGCTCGTCTTTGTCATCGAGCTGACGGCCTGGCGCAGGCATAGGCACAACCAGCGCTAAGCGCTTATGCAGAGGATGAAGAGGAGGATGTAGTGGCGTTGATGGATTGATGTAGTGTAGTAGTTGCTTGTTCCTGAACACTTTCTAGCATCCGCATGTGTGTTTGTAGTTGTAGTTTCTTCTTCTTCCACAAATAAAGCAACAATCTAGTTACACTGAGAAAAATCTTATGCTACTGCAGTTGCGAAATTGATCTGCAAGTCCTTAACGATGCTTTAGATATTATATATCGCTTTCTAATAGCTAAGTATATGAGACTCAGCATCCTGAGCATCCTACCCAATCCGCCTTAAATCACCGCTTCCTCGCACTAATTTAAGCTACATGAAATACACATTTTTTCCTGTGACTCCTGTTTTTGCTCAACACCTAGATCCAAGATTCATGTCCTTAAGCAACGGCATCCTTAAGCTAAAATGTACAGAAATAGTGAATCCCTATCGTATGCAATCGCATCCTTTTCTACCTTCTACCTTTTTCCTTCAATTCTCATCCTTTGCGTGTCTAAGTCTAACCTATCCTTTTGCTATCCATATTACTGCTGCCTTGCACTTTATTTAAATTATGCTTTACGCCCACAAAACTAAAACGCTTTTTGCTTCCACAGCTTGCGATACACAGCAGCGATACAACACGTATCTAGTAGTCGCCCCCAATTTGAAAAATGTCAAAGCTTATATGTCTGCTCTGTCTCCTCACTAACGTAGACTCAAGCACCTATGATCTAAACTCAAGCATAGCCGCACTCAATCGGGGGCTGCAGAGCAAAACCAACATTATCTACACGGAGTCCGCACAGCCCTTAGATATCTATGAGCGGATCTGTGAGGTCCTCAGCCATGTCCCTAGTGTACTGTTGAAGAGAACCGATCAGAGCAGCCTGAGCAGCATCAACGACCTTCATCTGCCCAAGCCCCTTTTGGTGATACTGCCAAAGCCCAGCCCAGACCAAGCCGAAGCCATGTTCGAGCAGCTGCCCACAGAAATGCAGCAATCGGATTTCCTGATCGTGGGCTGCGACACAGCAGCAAACTGGCATCAGTTGCTTTCCGCCCTCTGGCAGCAGGGCTTCCCGAATGTGCTGCTATTCAACAGCACAGACAGAGGAGGGCTCCGGGGACAGTTTTATACCAGCGGCTTTTATCCGCAGAGACAGCTGCAGCGCTGCAGCATCGAGGATTATTTGTGGAGTCGCCAACACTGGTTCGACAATCTCGGGGGCCTGGAGGTGCGCGTGGCGCTCTATAACGATCCGCCACGCAGCTTGGTCTATCCCGAAAATGATATGTACTCTGGCTATTCTCTGCTGCTGCTGCGGGAGTTTCTGGCCCACCGCGGGGCCAAGTTTGTGCCCGTGCTGACGACCAACCACAGCGTCTTCTCCCCCCACGACTGTCTGAAATACATACGCAACAATCTGTCCGACGTCTGTGGGGCGCTGTTGGCTTACTCCAACGACGTTAGCTTTACCGCCAGCTATACGTACTTGTACGTCAATATCTTGATTCCCAATGCGCAGCCCAAGTCCAAGAACTACTATATTATAGCCCCCATGCAGCTGAAGACATGGCTGTCCATGCTCCTCTATATAGCCATCACCTGTAGCTTCGTCAGCTGCGTCTGCCGGCTGCAGCTAGGGCGATGGGAATATGGCCGATTTCTACTAGATATCATTTCCAGTCTGCTCTGCGTGGGCTTCGAGCTGCGTCATATTACGGGCTGGCAGTACTACATCTTGTATTCTAGCATTTTCCTAGTGGGCTTCATGATCGCCAACTATTACCTAGCGTTTCTAGCAACCATACTCTCGACGGGTGTCTACGAGCCCGAAATACGCAGCTTCGAGGACATGGTTGATCGAAATATTAGCATCCTGATCGGGGACTACGACAAGAAGGTGTTTGAGATCTACGACTTTCCGGACATTCTATGGAATATAACCCGTCTGGTGTCGTACCCCTTCATACAGGCGCATCGGCGAGTCTTTGACGCCAAATACGCCTACTTGGCGCACAGCGATCGCCTGGTACTCTTCGCTTTCCAGCAACAGTATATGACCAAGCCCCGCATGCGTCCCCTGCCCATAGACCTGCAGCACTCGTTGCCGGGTTTCCCAATGCGTCGCCACTGGCTGCTGAAGCACAAGCTCAGCGAGGCGGTGCTCAACAGCTTCGGCAGTGGACTACTGGACAAGCTGGCCGACGACACCAACCAGCAGACCATACACATTGGCTACTTGAACCTGATACCCTCGGAGCCATACGAGGCGAAGCCCCTGACATTGGACTACTTCAATGTGCCGCTAATTATGCTCGTATTCGGTCTAATCATTGCATTTGTCTGCCTCATTGTCGAGTTACTCTGGCGACGTATACACGATGCGTATACACCCGATCGGTGCGAAAGAACTGGAGTAGCTGAATAGGAAATACCTGGGAAGTCTTCAAGTAAGTATGAATGCCTATTGATCTGAAACATTATTCGGCATTACTCACACTATTATGAGATTATAAGAGACTTCATTTATATTTCAAAAATTATATCATTACAATTTATATTTCCCAATTTAGTAAATCGACTTGGAGTCATCGGTAATTGCTATTCATCTAATTTATTAGACTCACACTATTATGAGATTATAAGATGCATCAATTATAGTTCATGATTGATGTTTATCTTTACAGAATTATATTTCCCGATTTTGTAAATCCATTTGGAGTTGTCATGAGGTAATTTTACCCCTGCAGGAAAATAATAGCTAGTTTGGTTCAAAATTTTAATAAAATCTGTAATTTTAATAAAATCTTAGACATCAAGTTCTCAAGAAATTCAACTGAATACAGCATTTCGGTTTTATGAATTCTCAGCTAAAATATTTATTGATCAATAAGCATAAAATGAAATTGTGTTCGAGGCGTTGGAGGCCAACCCTTGAAAGGCGCTCTAGAACGGAACTTAAAATGAAATCCGCATCAAATCTATGCGAAGCACCCTTTAAACGATGTGAGAAGCTGGGCATGGCTCAGCTCGAGCTCTTTGACAAGCGACCAAAATAAATAGCACTTGAGATATGTTTCCAAAACATTTGTCAGCTGCGAACTTTGGGTCCGCTCACCCCTCCTGCTGGCCGCCTGCAAGTATGCAACTCAAATGATAACACAAAAACATGCCAAGAGGGTGGTGCAAAGCCACCCACCGTCAGCCTCGTCCGCAGATGCTGACTTGTACAAATATTTGGCGAAAAGAAAAAGAAAAAGAAAAAGGAAAAGCCGAAGATGGAACAACATCAAAAATTACTTTAGACAGGACACAATGGAGGGTTGTGTGGGCGTTGTCCGCTACATTTTGCCAAGAGGCGTGGCTCGACACATTTTGAAGTTCATTGACTTGTGCCACAGTTCTTGGCGCCGCGAAGTATGCAACACAAATGTGGCGACAATAAAGTTTATGTGCGGCGCCAGCCGCAAAAGAAAAAACACTCTACATTGCAGCTGTGTGTGTGTGTGGGTGTTTGAGTGTGGGAGTAGATAATCACCAATTGCCTGGCGGTTGATGCAAATAAAAATGATACGCATTGCCTTGTGCAGGAGCGTTAACTTTTTGACAGCACTGTTCGAGGCGGGCGACACAGATTTCAAGCAGGCCTGGGTAACGCCCACCTGAAATCCAGGCGAAGGCTCGGGGTTCGAGTCACGTGCGTGCCTGGACCCAATATCGCTGCTGTCGACGCAACGAGAGATAAATAAAAATTCGAAAAAAAAAATACACATACATATACATGTGTGTATGTGTATATGCATTGCCCTTCAGCCGCTTAATTGCTGATTTCGTGTTTTCATCGCGACTTTAATCGATTTCGTGCGCAATTTAACTGCCCACGATTGTCACATGTGGCATGCCGCATGCCCCACTCATAGGGGTATCGGGCCGGCCAGTCAGTCGCAGTCCGATTACAATCGACTTTAAAGCAAACATTTGTTTTTATTTTTCCAGCAGGGCGGCTTTTAATTAAGATTGTGTAGGGCGATAAGTGGCAAGTGTTGTGGCGAATCGATTCCGCAGAATGGGGCGGATCAAAACTCAATATAAATTCCGGATTCTCTGCGCTCTTGATGTACATATTTATTGTGGCTTTAGCTGCGGCTGCGACTGCGGCTGCGGCTGGGACTGCATCTGTGGCTGTGCCATTGTTCACGTCTGTGCACGTTTTATTAAAGCGAATTCGGCTTTCCCTTGCCCAGCAGGGCTGTCATGGTCATGCTCACTGCTGAAACTGTTCAGTTAGCATGGGAAATTTCCACTTTTGATAATACTTTTCCAGCCATCCTCATAGATTTATCAACCCATTTGGCTTGACACTCTTGAATACATAGCTGATTTCTTTATCTGAACTGCATTGAATTAACAAGTTTTGTTGATCTTTTTTCTGAAGTCATCGCACATGTACTGTCACTGTACAATAGGTTTTCATAAAGCTTATGCATAATAATTATTATTATTATTATAAATATTAGTATTATATGTATATATATTATTATTATTATTATCATTTAGGAATCGTGCTTATTAATTATCAAGGATATCCAGAGTTGAATCCACATCTGAACCCATCCAATATAATCTAGCTCTTTCCTAAAAACGCCGACAGTCTCAAAAAAAAAAAACTTTTATTTTCTTACAACCCAGAGATCTAGATAATTCATTATGTCTTACCACTTTCGTTTTTATGGAACTGGGATGATTTTACTGCCAGATATATCACATCATATTTCGTTTATCCCCCTACCCACTGTACACACAACTTCTTTCAACAAAGACCATCTCCTTATTCCTACGAAATATATTGGCATACCTTAGTCTCTATTGAAGCATTAGTCTAGAATGAATTTGGGAACATTCGTGAATTTTTGCCACTGTTTGCACTGCTTAATAGCCCAGTTTATCCTAGAAGCTAACCCTCATTTCAAATTTCACATTATAAATTTGGAATTTCAATGGTGTAGCTTCAGGGCCTTTAAGTCAACCGAGTGTGTAAGCGAAATGACAAATTTAAACGTCAACCCCGTCCAGCCCTGGGCTCTTGAAAGAGACTATACGACGACAATAGGGGGATTATCTGGTGCGCTCAGCTGTGTGCGACGTCTGACCCTTTTATCAGGCGGACATGTGAGCCACAATTCACAGCCCGTGATGCACATATCACAGCCCCGGCTGGACACACACACAGTGGGAACAGAAACAATTGAAAGGCATGCCCCAAAGGCAATTGCCTGATTCGAATGCCACATAATTGACTGCATGCTTTGTTGGTTTGCTTTGCCTTGATTTGGCCTGGCTCGGCTCGGCTCTGCTCCTCTTCTACGGTCCAATCGAAACTCCCAGGCTAATTGCAGTTTGGCTCTAAGGTCTCATTGTGTGCTTAGGGATTGTGGCATGGGGCATGGGGCATGTGGCGAGTGGTTGGGCGCTAGGTCCGGCGACCCGGTCCCGATATGCGAATGCCCCTTTAAATGCTATTATTTAAATCAATGCTGTGGCATCGCCTTAAGGCCGGCTCAGCACATATATGAGGTGGATATTTATGTGCCATGTCTAATTGTCGGCAGCGGGCTTCAAAGTGGCCTCGTTACCTCTAATTCGCCCTCCACTGCTCCGCGGAATGCATTTATCGCACTCCAACTTATGCTAAGATAAACGACCATCGCACAGCCAGTGAAAATTGGCCACACTTTCCAGACGCTCATACGCTCAGTCTCTCAGCTTCACAGCTTCTCAGTGCCTGACTTGAGCTTGGGTCATAAAGAAATATACCTGACAATTGACAATTTTTGGTTGATTTTGCAATTTATGGCCACAGCGAGCAGCGGGAGCTGGCCAAGAGGCAGCGGCATGTGTCATTGGCGGCATGACCAAAAGACCCAAATATATATGTAGTATACCATGAGGTCTTGTGCTCGGGATGAGGGAGAGCAGGACACAGGAACTTCAGTGCATCTCATGAAATAGTGCGAGTAATTTGACTGAATTTATGAAACGCTTAATAAGAGACTTTGAAAATTATATAAAAATCACGTAAAGTCTCTCTGGTCTTTCAGCTCGGAACTGCAGCGGAATACTATTTTGAAAATCATCCAGCCGGAATGTCTGGAGCGATACTATATAAACCACTCGAATAATTTATGTATTTATATGGCAGCACTTCAATTGATTGTACAAAAATAAAGAAACAACTTTATAATTTATTTGCACACAAAATGTCTGCAGGTTATTCGATTAATCAGCACACAATAAATATTTTCATTGTTTTTAAATTGGATTTACGCTGGAGTTTTTCAATTCATACTAGGATTAATGTCAGCTCTGACATATGCGAATTTTCTCAAAATATTTATTTAAATGTGCTTTATGAGCAAACTGCAACGAATCGGCGAGGAACGATATCAAGGTGTACGAAAAGAATATAACTTTTTCATTATTGTGAAATATAGTAAATAATCGTAAATAAAATCCAAGTAATTTCTACATATTCAAAGACTATTTCTATGCTGGTAAGTTATGCTGACAAGTTGCTTAACTCTAGTTGTGAATGTATGAATCATTTCTCAACTCTCTCACTCAGAACACTATTGTTATTCTGGAGGTAAGTCAGCATTGTCTGCTCGTAGGCATGTCTTCGAAGCCCAAGCCCAGCTGCCTCAAGTTGCTAAATATAGCTGGGCACAGAAACCCAAACGGAACCCAATTAAGCGCAACAAACAACTTCACGCCACATGCCACAGCCGCTTATCGCTCCCATCCGATCAGATCCAACATCAACATCAAGTCGATTGCATTGCCGCCGGTGTACGACGCTGTGCCTGCTGCTGTTCCCTACTCCATCTCTCTCTCTCTCTCTCTCTACCTCGCTCTCTCCCCTCTCTTTCGCTCTGGATGTTGCCAATTGTAATGGCCAACGATTTGTCGCTGTCGCAGGACCTGCGGCCACAACAACAACAATTGGCGATCGTCGCGAGATAAGATCACAGCGCGATAAGCGAGCCGAGAAACGGCGACAGCAGCCACATTTATGCTAATAAGTTGACATTTGACCACCATGACGAAATAATGAAACGATCAGGAGGCCGCCCGTGTGACAGGTAGGACAGAGTACGGATCGCACATGCCAGGTGAGACAGTTTGTATAACGATTCAAAGAAAAACATTATTTGGCATATTCCTTTTTCTGTTTCTGGTAATGTAAAACATCTCGAAGGTCTATCAAATCGAGACATTCTTCTTATATCTATGGACTATGGCTCTACAGGTTGGCAATGGTTGTCTAATATGAACGCTTTAATTTCGAATAACCTCATAGGTAAATATACCAATGTGTCAGAAATAAATATAAATATCATATGTGCCCAATTAAAAGCTTTGTAATTTATTTATTGATAACCAGTTCAGCAGAATCTGTTAGGTACTCCATTAAAAGTATTTCAAAATCAGAGCAATAACTCACTGTATTAATCCAAATCAAATCGTCAATTATTCACATAATTCCCTAGAAGCTTAAATCACACTTAACTGATTTTATTTTAATGGTTACATATTTCAAAACGATTATCTGCCAATCTAATCATAGAGCACAACAACAATGACAACCAAAAACACAAATTTGATAAGATTTGGCTTTCAAAAAACCCCTCATTGGATACGAAAAACGTTCAAGAGCGCGTATGTAGAAACATAAAGCAAATGTTTGCTATATATATTTCAAATTATTTCGTCCAACAGCCGAATTCATAATGATAGCATAAGTAAAATAGTGGGGTGTGCACGGCTGATGAATACCCTGTAATATATATCTACATAACAGAAGGCTCCAAATATTTTTTACGTAGTCCTAAATTTTATAAGTTTATAAGTAAAAATACAAAAACTAGCAAAATTGAAAATTTTCGAAAACTCTAAAATATATCACTTATTTTCAGTGTATTCCCTCAAAAAATTCAAATTATAGAGGAGGAAACAAACAAAACTAACCAATAAATTTTTAATTTCAAGCTCTAACTTTAGAAGATATCTATTGTTCCGATTTGTTACGGTTCCTATGGAATACAGATATCGGACATAAAAGCTCTAGAGCAAATAGTTTTAACAAATTTTCCATTGCCCTAATCTGAGTAGATCTATCTAGAATATTCATTTGATACTTGCTTTACACGAGTATATATATATTCCAAATTTCAAACTTATATCACCTATAATAACACTCTTTCTGTTGTATAAAAAATGTTATATCCCAAATTTATTATACTATTTCCTCCTTTATAATACGAGGCTACCAACTACTGAATATTTTACAAATTTCTATAGCACAACGGACAGACAGGCTTGGCACAAAACCAATATACTCTCTTCACAACTTGGGCGACTATACTATATTTTGGATAGTCACCGAATCTAGCACAATATAACTGTTTGCAATGAGGCATCCGATAGAAGCCGGCAATAACTATACAAATGGGCCTAATAAATTAATATATTCTAAATTGGTTATTTATTGGGCCAGCGATTTTATGACACCATTCTAGACTTCTATAAAATGTTCAAACGATTCCTCCGAAATAGCCAGTTTCACTTGGCAGCCCATGGAACACACAACTGCAGAAAAGTTAACCGATCAAACATGAGCGATAAGGATAGACTTGTAAAGACATTCAGAAATAATATGGATTTGGAACTCTCAATAAATTTACGGACATAATTCGCAGATATTGCAGGAGGCTGGCGAAGGATCAGCGAGCAAGAGGATCAAAAGCAATTCGAAATTAAAACTACCGTGGTATTTCGCAAGTGGATTCCTTCTGCTGTGGTTCCTATTGTATTTTGCAGTGGTTATTCCTCTGTTTTATCGCCTGCCCACATCCCTGACCATCGAGGATGATAACAAAGGAGAGTTCATTGGGGATCGAGCCTATGACGTCCTCAACAATCTGGTCAACATTGGAACTAGGGTAGCTGGCAGCGATGCTAATGAACTGGAAGCAGTAAACTTTCTGCTAAATGAAATATCGAAGATCCAAAAGGATTTACTTGAGGATTATTTTACCTTAGAGGTGGACGTACACAAAACCTCTGGTTCACACATCTATCACTCCCTACTTGAGATGTACCAAGGAGTCCAGAACGTGGTAGTCAAACTGAGCCCCAGGAATTCATCAAGTGAGTCGTACCTCCTGGTGAACAGTCACTACGACACAGTCGCAACTTCTCCGGGAGCGGGTGACGATGGCTTCATGGTCGCCACTATGATGGAGGTGCTTCGCGTGATGGCCACAACGCCACAAACCTTAGAGCATCCCGTCGTCTTCCTGTTCAATGGAGACGAGGAGATGGGCATGCAAGCCTCACATGGTTTCATTACCCAGCACAAATGGGCTCCAAACTGCAAGTATGCATCGGAATTGTTTCGACATTGAGGGAAAATCCTATTTAGGAATTGCATTTACAGAGCTGTTGTCAATTTGGATAGTGCTGGAAGTGGCGGACGCGAGATTTTATTTCAAACTGGCCCCTCACATGCGTGGCTAGCCAATGTAAGTTCTGCAAGAGGAAACAGTTCCAAGTACGATTTCAACTTGGTCATAATCCGCAGTATTACAAGAAGAGTGCGAAGCATCCTTTTGCTACAACCATGGCTGAGGAATTCTTTCAAATGGGACTCATACCTTCCGATACGGACTACCGCATTCTTACGCAATACGGACAGATTCCAGGTAAAACTAGAGTCAGCTAAATGTAAATCTATTGATATTCTATGGACTTTTCACTGTGCAGGCCTTGATCTTGGCCAAGCTATCAATGGTTTCATATATCATACGAAGTACGATCGCATTGATGTGATTCCTCGAGGCTCTATTCAAAACACGGGCGACAATGTCTTGAGTCTAGTGCGCGCCTTGGCTAATGCACCGGAATTGCTCAATATACAGGTGGGTTATGAGCACGTTTTATTCTAAAAACAGTTTCTTAGTAATCCAACTTTAGGCGCATGAAGGAGGAAACTCTGTGTACTACGATATTTTGGGCCTCACTTTCATCACGTACTCGGAGGAAATGGGCCAAATTCTGAACTACGGCGCAGCAGGAATCACACTTATTTTGGTTTTCATATCTGCGTGGCGCATGTCCGCTGTATCCCAGCTGCTCAGCAATCAGGTTTGGCGGCGTCTAATCATTCTCGTGATTCTTCAGAGCATTGGTTTTGTACTAGCCTTGGCTCTGCCCTTAGTAGTGGCATACATCCTTGACAGCTTCGGACTGTCCCTCACCTACTTCAGCACTCTTTCACTTGTGATTGGCTTGTATGTCTGCCCGGCACTGATTGGACTATGCCTTCCGATCACAGTGTACTATCACACGCAGGACAATGTGAGTATGCGAGATTGCATTAGATCGAACAATCCACTCAATGTGGTCCGCTCTAGAGCAAATTGCCTTTCACCTACCACGTTCAACTGGCGCTGCATAGCTGGGCCATTCTACTGTCTCTTCTGGCCATTGTCGCTACTGCTTATGGACTGCGCTCCATCTATATCGTTACGATTTTGATCATCTTTTATGCTGTATCGTTGGTCTTGAGTCTATTGAGTACCTCCCACGATCGCGGCTACTCCTGGAGTGGACTGGTCATTGTTAGTCAGGTGATTCCTTTCCTTTATAGCAGTTACCTCTTCTACACATTCATCGTGGTGCTGACGCCAATGAATGGTCGTTCTGGTAGTGCATCCAATCCGGATATGACCGTTGCTGCTCTAGCAGCGGCGGGTGCGATTTTCTCCTTTGGCTTTTTGGTAAGTTTGCTATCCAATTTTGATTCCTAAAAAGCTTATACCCTGCCTCATCAGCTGCCCTTGACCAATGTGTTCCGACGATCGGGAACGGTGTTGCTCACCCTACTTGTGATTACAAGCGTTACGATTTACCTAGCCTGCGGCACAGAAATGGGCTTCCCTTATCGCCCAAGGACCAATAGTGCGCGTGCTCTCTATCAGGTACTTCTTAAAATACTGATTGATATGAGTTGATAATTATACTATTCCTAATTTAGCATGTCCGCAGAACCTTCTACGATTACGATGGCTCCGTTATCAGCGACGAGTCCGGCTATTTATTTAACTTACAGGATAGACGTGAAACATCAGCATTTCCTGGCGTGAATTTCTCGGGTGCAATAAGCCAGTCAGAAAATTGCAAGAATCACATGATGTGCGCAGCGCCTCTATTTGATGAGCGTTGGGTTGAGAACCGACTGCAAGGAATTTGGCTACCCCGCGAGGAGCCCGTCGTACCCAAAATACCAACCACTCTCGAGCTGCTCAGCAAAACCGTCTTGGCTGACAAGAGGACGATAAGGTTCAGCTTCCGGTTAACTGGACCGCCCTATTTGAGTTTGTTTATACAAACCTACGAAGATGACTTTGTCACTGTGAGCGACTGGTCCTTCTCCAAGACCTACCTGGAGCAAAAGCCAGCTTCTCCGCTCGCCTATCACATATACATTACCTATGGCAGAAGTGAACCCCTTGAGTTCTATTTGGATATTACAGTAAGTACTCTATGCTTAGATATTCGGCTACTTTCTAATATTCCTCAATTTCAGAAACCGAACGGAAAATTTGACGTGCCTCTGTTCCAACTGGGCATATCTGCATCTAACATTGGCGATAAAGGAGATGAGCACAGCGTGAAGTTCGCCTCGACGTTTCCCTCGTATGCCATAGTAGTCGATTGGCCCTCGCAATATACAAGATATATATTCTAAATCGAGCACAATAAAGCATAACAGTTGTGTTTGTCCTTCGGTTTAGTGGGATAATGTATAAAGAATCTAAGATAGTAATAAAGTTCTTAAAAATAAGAAATTCGTCATGATAGGACTCACGCGCGAGCAAGTGGACAAAGAGATAAGCTTGCTGGGGTAACCTGTTTTGGTTGAATGGTGACTGATTGGGCTACACCAGACAGACATGGCCTAATCGAGATCGAGAAGAATGGCAATCTGAAAGCTCAGATTAAATCTGATTATGGCCTATGCTTTATGGCAGCAGATTATGGCTTATCTGCATGATCTTATGGCGTGCGAGCAACAATTCACAATGACTCTGCCTGCCTTAAAAAGCGTGCTTTCTTCAATGGCGATTGTAAATTTGATTTAGCGAGGGCAGCTCAAAAAGTTGTTGTCACTTTAGAGGTATCTGAAAATGCCCAGCAGAAATAAAACTCATAATAAAAGCCAAGTTTGCGAAATAGTTACTTTACATAAAATTATCCTATTTAATCATTTTTTATAGATCCTTTAATAGCTTATGAAGCTTATTTATTTGTGAACTCTTTAGATAGATACGAAACTGCCCGCGTTTTTATTGTTATCAAACATATTTTGAATCATTGGTGTTATAAAATGATATATTTCTGAAAAATATGGATTTATATTTCCATTTTTTATGACTTTCTATCTACGCCTATATAAGGAGGTTCGATTTTCTGGCGAAATATTAGTCGACCAACAAAAAACACTGGACTCACTACGGATAAAACAAAAACAGTTTACGAAAATGAGCGACGGGATTACACTGGTATGAGTGTGCGCAAATGAAAAGTTCTATTTTTGCTAAGTTTACATAACAAATTCGCAGATTTCGGAGGAGGATGACGTGGATATTTCCAGCAAAATACAGAAATATTATATCAAAAAGAATGCAAAGCCAGCCTGGTACCTCGGCACCGGCTTCGTGCTCTTCTGGACGCTGCTATTTTTCGCAGTGGTCTTGCCGTTCTTCTATCGCATGCCCACGTCGCTGACCATCGAAGATGATCACAAAGGCGAATTCATTGGAGATCGCGCATACAACACTCTGAACAATCTGGTTAACATAGGACCCAGGACGGTGGGCAGCAGCGCCAATGAGGTGGACGCTGTGCTTTTCCTGATAAATGAACTAGCAGCGATCAGAAAAGTTCTACTGCAAGACTACTTCACCATGGAAGTGGACATTCAGCGTGCCTCGGGCGCACTTAGGTATACCCATATGCTCAACATGTACCAGGGCGTAAGGAATATTATCGTTAAGCTGACCCCGAAGAGTTCGACAAGTGAGTCGTACCTCCTGGTGAACAGTCACTACGACACAGTCGCAACTTCTCCGGGAGCAGGTGACGATGGCTTCATGGTGGCCACCATGCTGGAGGTGTTGCGCGTGATGGCCACAACTCCACAATCCTTCGAGCATCCCGTCGTCTTCCTCTTCAATGGCGCTGAAGAAACGGCATTTCAGGCCTCCCATGGCTTCATTACCCAGCACAAGTGGGCACCGAACTGCAAGTATGCATATAAGGTGTTTATATTGTGAGGGAAATTTCTATTCACGAACCGCCTTTGCAGAGCTGTAGTCAATTTGGACGCCGCAGGCAGTGGAGGGCGCGATATTCTTTTTCAAAGTGGTCCCTCCAATCCCTGGCTTGTCGAAGTAAGTTCCTGAGAACGACTCTCGAGATTAATTAATAAAATCAATTTCAATCTTTAAGTACTACAAGAAACACGCCAAGCATCCGTTTGCCACATCTTTGGGCGAGGAGATATTTCAATCGGGTGTGATACCATCGGACACAGACTTCACCGCATTTGTAGAGCACGGGAAAATTCCAGGTAGGTAATTAAAAAACTAGTTGATTGCTTGGTTAAAAGTTTAATCAATTTGTTGAGTGTCCAGGCTTGGATATAGCCCAGATCATTAATGGCTACATATACCATACTAAGTATGACCGCATCGATGTAATTCCCCGAAGCTCTATCCAAAGCACGGGCGACAATGTATTGAGTCTAGTGCGAGGCTTGGCGAATGCAACTGAACTACATAATCCACAGGTAAATCTTTGTTCCACATTGCTTTAACAAAGCTCTAGATCATGTTCCCAACATTAGGCCTATGAGGAAGGACACGCAGTTTTCTTTGACTTTCTGGGACTCTTTCTCATCAGCTACTCGGAGGATACTGGCATAATATTAAACAATTGCGTTGCTGTAGTGGGCCTCGTTCTGGTCTTTGTCTCCCTTTGGCGAATGTCGTCTATTTCTTCCCTGTCCCTCACTCAAGTGCTGCAGCGAGTGCTAATCCAACTGATTCTTCAGATCATAGCTTTGGCACTAGGCCTAGCTCTGCCTCTTCTGATTGCTTATGTGTTCGACAGTTTCGGATTGTCTCTGACATACTTCAGCTCTCTATCCCTTCTAATCGGACTTTATGTGTGTCCAGCGCTCATCGGACTGAGTCTGCCAATCACAATTTACTATCAATGGAAAAAGGATGTAAGTACTTAAAAATTAGATTCATTCAAGAGCCCACTTAGCATTCGAATTCCCTAGGACAAGCTACCATGCCCGTATGGCCTACAACTGGCTTTGCACATTTGGGCCATTCTGCTGTCTATGCTGGCTATAGCACTCACTGCCTATGGGCTACGCTCCGCCTATGTCTTCACAATCCTGAACGGCTTCTATGCCGTATCCTTGGCGCTTAACCTCTTGACCACACTCCACGATCGGGACTATAACTGGACGGGTCTGGTAATGGCTTGCCAGGTAATACCTTTCTTATACTGCACCTACCGCACCTATCTCCTGCTGGTGGTGGTGATACCGATGAGCGGACGTTTGGGTAGCGCCATAAATCCGGATCTTGCCATCGCTGGCGTGACTGCTTTGGGTACTATTTTCGGTTGGGGATTCTTGGTAAGCGAGCCTACGCGACCGTTTGCAGTATTTTATATTAAAGGCAAAGGATATACTTACGTAGATCCCGCTGATTAACATATTCCGGCGACCCTATTTGATAGTCCTCAGCATCCTTACAGTCACTGTGATCACGGTGATTCTCGCAAGCAGCACTGACATCGGATTTCCCTATCGCCCTAGAGCAAGCAGTGAACGAGTATCATTTCAGGTATTTAAAAGATCTATCTGTCAGACCAGTGTCATCTAATATGTGCCGACTTTCAGCATGTACGCAGAGTGTTCTACGAGTACGACGGCTCCATCGCTAAAGATGAGTCGGGCTATCTGATTAGTTTCCAGGACCGTCGGGAAGCTGAGCCAATGAAAATACGATCAATAGCAAATGCGAGAAGCATAAGATCCGACTGCGAAAAGCATATGATGTGTGGAGTACCCCTATACGATGAACGCTGGGTCGACAATCGTCTAGGGAGCGTATGGCTGCCACGAGAACAGCCGATTCAACTTCCAGCCAAGGCAAACCTGACCCTCTTAAGTAAACAAATTCTGGAGAGCAATACAACGGCACGATTCGAGTTCAAGTTAGAAGGCCCCGATCACATGAGTCTGTTCATTCAGACCTACGAGGATGACTTTGCAACGCTCAGCAACTGGTCCTTCGATCGCACTTACCTGGAGAACCCGCCCGCTTATCCGCTATCCTATCACATCTATTTCACCTACGGCACAGATCGGTCGCCACTGAACTTCAGTCTTGATATTTCGGTAAGCTTCAATAATTGAAGTACTCTCAGAGTATTTGACGACATCCTTTCGGCAGAAACCCAATGGAGACTTTGAGGTGCCGCTCTTCCAGTTGGGCATATCGGGCCATTATGTGGAGACTAAACGAGATGCACTCACCGAGCAGTTCGCAGCTTCATTTCCTTCGTACGCAGCACTTGTCGATTGGCCCTCTTCGTATGACAGATACATATTTTAATACTCTAAATGAAGCACTTGAAATGAGCATCCAAATGTAGTTACATCTAATATACATAGACAGCTACCCCTAAAGGGAGCTGAGTTCTAGAGAACACGCAAGAAGAGATCGAGGCCACAGTCAGCCTTTCTTTGTTTTGAATGTAGTGGGTAAAGCGGGCTTCAAGGGGATCAGTAATAAATATCCCATCCTCATCTTCAACTGCAACACAATCCTATTAACGGATATTTATGCATCTGACGAACAAACTGCGCACAATATTCATGCTAGGCGTCAAGTCAAAAGCTTCAGCCCAAGAAATTATCAGCCAGAAGCCAGCCTTTACTAGAGGAACTCGTCACGCATTTAGCCGAACTAGTTTGACGACTTGTTAGCTGCCTGACAGCTGTAAGGGGCTTTACTCAAATTTTGAACACACACATGCAGTGTGTCACCCACTGTGCAACCTACAGTGGGGCACACAGCCTCACACATGCGTGTGTGTGAGTGCGCTGCTACTCGCGCATCTCGCATAGCTTTTGACATTTGCTTGACACAGGAGCCGCTTGCCGCCGGCGACGCACTAACTTCCAGGAATTTCACGCCACTCTTCGCTCTGTGCTTATCTTCCCGGCCCGGGTCTGGTCTGCTCTGCCTTGGCGACTCAGCTCGGCTGGCCGTCATAAAAGCGTATGCAAATTTGGAGCGTATCTTCACACGATCTGCCGTGTGCGATCTGCTGCTTGTTAACTGCTTACAGATTGAACTGGCGGCACCCGCGGCTTCTGGCCATGTCGAAAATGAATTTTAATTGTCGCCGCTGCCCGCTGCCTAATGGACAATAATTTATAAACAAATTGGCCAACAGACGACTGGAATTTATTACGAAACGAAACTTTTGCAACAAGTACAGAATCAAATTGCACTAATTACATGAACGTTACGAGGTTGCGTCGCCAGGAGACGGGCAACCGATCAGTCCGTTTCAAAGCACCGAAAGCGATTCGAATTGCTGCGCCGTTCGTCTCGCCCATAGTTTTGCTCATTGTAGTGGCTGGTGTGGTTGTTGCTCCTGCGGCTCCTGCCCCTTCTGCTGTAGTTGTCATTGTTGTCGCCTCTGCTGCTGTAGCTGTT